TAATTTGCCCCCTCAGCAACCCACTTTAATGAGGCTCTATTATATTGTGATAGTCAATCAATTTCCTTGTTGACCCCAATTGATAAGCCGCAGCTGGCATTGTCGGGCATTATCAATGCTATTGTTAAGATGCACTCATCTCGGACAGCTTTCAGCCTCCAATAATGACTTTCAATGCGCTCTTGATTGCCTGCCGTCACTGGGGCGTATACTTAACGTTTTGTTTGGAAGCGCCTGCAACGGATTACTTCATGATTTATTTATATTTATGCACTTGTCGACTATTCTATTTATTTATACATAAAACGCCGACAGATTGCACACAGCCAGCGCGCCGCTTGAAAAATATTTTCACAACCTTAAAAATTGAAGAATTTTCTCATAAGACATAAATATAGCACATTAAACGAGGCTAACTTTTAGATATATACACACACACACGCACACACACTTATGGATAAGCGCTGTGCCATTTTCTTGACTCTCAGCACGAGCAACACTAAATGAACAGCACCACATTTTCCGGGCTACAAACTAGAAAACTGGGGAGCTTCAATTGATTAAAGTGCATAATAAATGGTTGCATTTAATTGAATTGAAACAGTTAGAAATAAAAAACAAGATAAATGGGTTGTCCAGCCAAAATGAAGGAGTCTAGTTTTTAATTGCTTAAAAAAGAGCCAAAGATGTGCATTGAGTGAAATAAAATAAATTCAAAATAAGTTTTCTCGGTCAACAAATGGTGAACGAATGCCGTTTAATCAAAATCTGAGGATTTTATGTGTTATTAAAGTATAAATGTTTAGTTAAATAGTTACCCAAAGGATCTAACTGTCAAAATGTTCCTTAAACATAGCCCATCTTAATTAAGAATTATACTTAACAGCGAAGGAACGCCTCTTTTCTACAAACTTAAGATAACATCCTTTTTAGACAAAGTTTTCGGTTTAAGAGTTAAGTGAGGAGAAATGTGATGCTCGTAATTGCCATAGTGCTATGTGATAGAGTAGTCTGATATTCTTAAGATGTTACTCATATATAAGTGAAACATATTTCACCTTTCTAGACTATAGACTATAACAGATAGAAGGATCGAAAGCTCTGAACTGAGAGACTAGAAACAGAAACAAAGAAACAGGCAGACGGACATGAGTATATCGACTGGAAAGACATACGTATATCGCATGGGCTGTTGATATGATCAAGAAAAAACATATTTTGTAAAGTCAGAGATATCTCCTTATGTGCATTACTAATTTCATAAAAAGATTATACATCACTTTAAAAAAAAAGTAGAAAAAGTGCGTCAAATATCGCAAATATGTAACCCACTTCAAATTTGAAGCTATAGTTTTTAAGTTAGAAAATGAGGCTTAGACTTTTGTTACGATATAATTTATTTTTTAATTATAATATTAAATTTAATTACCGTTTATGCTGTCTGAGCCTACATGTAGTTTCCGTAGACTAAACTTCAACTTTTGTGAACATGTTCTTGATGGAAACTTTTTGCCGCCTTGTAGATAGGCCTTTTTTTAGCTTGTAACTCCACGATGTCGTCATATCTTCAATTGGAGGTTGATGTGTGTTTACGTTATTTTGTTGTTTTGTAAGTTTTATGGGCGTGTGCTTCTGTTCTGGACACATTGTCAGCCAATTTAGTTTTTATTGTGTCCACTCGCAACTTTGGAGCACGCACCTCCATTAAATTGTGGACACTGACAGTTTCAGTCAGGCATTTGCAACCTTGTTTTCGTATTGTTTTTTATTTTCTTTTTGCTTTTTTTTTCTGGAGGCCTTAACTAATTAATTATATTTCGTCGCACCCATTTCCGAATTTAGCTGGAAATTACAAAAATAGATTGAATTTTTGAATAGAATAAGTCGAATTGCTTTTATTTAGTCATTTACTTTTATAATGGGCATTTCATTTTGTGTGCTGGTGATCTCAATTGCCAGTCAGAGCGCAGAATTTACATAAATTTGAAAAATTAATTATACATTAGGTGTGCTAAGCAGAAGTTCCATAATTAAAGCAATTCACTTGCAAATTGCTTAACTGACTAAGCGCAACTATTTATCATTTGACATGCATGTCATTGGGGCTTATTGCAATTTGCTTGAGATACAATCGGAGCAATCATTATAATGCAATCCAACCCTGAAATCCATCAAAACCAACACACACCCAAAACACCGAAAGCATGACAAAATGTCATCATTTTAATGTGCTACGTGTAAGTCATTAAATAATTTTCCAACACTGCAATGGAATCTTTTATGGGTACCCTGTACTCTCTAAATGCGTAAGAAGGGTATACAAAGTCTGTGACTATTAATGTAGTAGGCAGTAGGAAGACTTAAGTTTGTAACATTTCGAAGACTTTAAATTAGTGACAAATTAAATTAAAATGAAGGCCAGACTATTTAGTTATTGTGTGTTCACAATTTAGTTCAGTTAGCCTTTATTTTTAAATGTTACCATATTCATAATTATTAACATATGATGGTAGTCAAAGATAAGAATATTCAAAAAGTAAATTTTTTTACATTAATATCTCATAAATATATTAAAATTTGAAAAACCTCTTGATAGTTTCAGGCCTTTAGATAGTGCCTATTGTAGAGACTATTTATCTATATATAAATGTAAACTCAAGTATATTATTGCTAGCCTTGAGTCTGTGTGCTGGGTATCTCCTAGTCGAGCACTGTAGATTTGATCATTGCTAAATGTTATGCTCTTATTTTGGCGCGCGTATTTAGATATTCAATGAGTTGGGCGCGTTTTAATGGGTGTGGATATTTAGCTTTCAGATCAATCTACAAGCTATATGTAAACAAATGTTAATATTCGCCTTCTATTCAAGCTAAGCCCTCTGTAAATAGCTAAACACCTCGCATTCCAGCACATTTCCATATAATGCACGTCTAATTATACAAGCATTTGGGCCAAATACGAAACAATTGTCGTTGGCAGTTTTCAGTTGAACGAACTTTGATTGCATGTTTGTAAATACAGACTTTCTACCCCCTACCTTTACCCTGTAAGTCGGCACCTAACTGGCAGCTCTTTCTAAGGTTTAGGTCCACACTCGTAAGTTGTCGATTTTATGGTTCAGATATGGCGGCGCATGTCAGCGACTTTGCCGGGTTTTTCTTTTTTGGGTGGGAGCCAGATTGCTGATAATCAACACGTTTTTAAAACTTTTTAGATCCAAAAACTCTTAAACTCCAGTTACAACTGTAACCCCAGTTCTAACCCGAAGTAAATCCCCGCTCAACTGACTCGAGTTAATGCGAAAATTGCATGTGAACTTTACTATGTGTGTGGGGTGTGTGTGCGTGTGTGTGTGGGAAAGTCACAGGCCCAACTTTTAGTTTATTATTGCTGACTTTTGCATAAGTCGTTGATATAAAGTTACAGTGCCTCAAAGTGCATTCAACTCGGCTTATAACATAGGCGCGCCCCATTTTTACTTAGGCGAGTTCAAGCAGCGAAAACCTAAGAAAATTGCTAGAAAATTGTGAGTTTTTGCAGCTATTTAAATGAAATGTGTTTGCGCAGTTCATGAGCATTTTTTAAAGCAAAAAAAAAATTGAATTTCCTTTCAAATTTGTACCGGAAATGGTTAACAAACTTAACAGCAATGAGCCCGCACACACATTTTTTAAATCTTTATATCAAGCATTTTAAACTAATATTATAAATTGAACTAGACAATGGAAACAATTAGCTAAGTGCTTTATTTGGCATTTTTCACCTTTCTAAATTTTTTTCTATAACTTAAAAAGAATCGGAAATAATGACATTTATTTAATAATATTTGTTGTTATTGAAAAAATAAATTAAAAATAGAAAAGTACTAAAAAAAAGGGAAAAGTATATAAAAAGTACATAAAAAGAAAAGTAGATAAAAAATATAAAATTTATAGGCGTGTTGATAAATCATATTTATTTTGGAATGGTTTTTGAATGTGGGAAGAATCGGATCTATTCCGAAAAAAATATATGTTTGAAAAAAAAGGACAATTTATTAGTTATTATTTAATAATTTTTATTATTGTATTATTATTATTCTAAAGACAAAACTGGAAAAGCATTTACGTTGATCAAAAATATTGCAATTAAGGGCATGCTGATAAACTTGTTTCTATATGACTTGTTTATATACGGTCCAAATGTTTATGTATATTATATTAATAATGTTGTTTTTAAAATTCATACCCAGTTAACACTTTAGTTAGCTTAGGCTGTATTTACTTTTGAGACTAGGATCTTGGGATTTGAATGGGGAAAACAAACCTTAATGATCAAATGATATTTGTTTCATTTAAATCTCAGCTTTTGAATATAGATATAAAAACTCTTATTTAATTCTATTCACTTAAAATATAGGTATATGTCTAGGTCTATTAATCCCATTCCTATATTATATACCCACGCATGATAAGTAGATAGTCTGCGATTTTATAAATCAAAGTGGTTATAGGTATTGTCAGACCAGCTTCTATTTATATTTCTGTCACAATAAGTAGATCATAATTTTTTTATTTTTCTTGCGTTTCGTAATGTATGCCCATGTAACCTTTTACTTTTCAAACGCATATCTTTAGGTAATCGAACTGCATACTTATATAAATGTAAGAAACTACTTAAGCACACACACACACACACACACACACACACTGTTAAAGTCATGTGTGTAACCATTTTTGGGTCGCTGTTTGGAACTGCCAAAACATTTGGCATAAACGCGCGCACAATATCAATTTTCATGTTGCATACAATTACAGTCATTACCATTAGTAAACTGCCACCGCAACTGCGCGCGCACTGTTACACGCATATAAACAATTTGGCCAACGATCTGACAATTCAGCTGTCAATTAATTTCAATATATTGTAAATGATAATAATTTCTAAGCAATGCAAAATGAAGTCCGAATACGTTTCTTGATTTTATTGTATTTTTTATTCAAATACGCAAAATTGTAATGTTTATGTCTGTTGTTTATGGCCAAATGCGGTTAAAGCCAATAGAAGACTGCGGCCAAAAACACGTTTCGAGTGCGTTCGGCACAGTTGGCTCAGTTGGGTATAGGCCAGGCCAGGCCAGGCCGAGCCGGGCCAGGCTATTTGCTGTTTATCTAAGCTTTCATTTAAACGCACCTCAAAGTGTTGGTTAAGTGCATTTAACCTGAACGTTAACGTTTGACGTTTAAATTGGCCCCGCAAACGGGTTTTTATTGTCGTCGTCAACATCAATATCAACATCAACATCAACATCCGCTGCTGTCCAGAGCAAACCCGGACGGACACCGATGAAAAACTATCTCAATGCCATTTTAGAACAGAGCTGCCTTAGTTAAGTCTCGCGGCTTTTGCGATTCCAAAATAAAATGTTTAATAATTATTCAACACGCTCTTTGGCCAAATCGTGGGCATAAACAACGCCAAGAGCCGAAAGTTTTGACACTTTTATAAGGCAGTTCTCCAATCGACTGTCCCATAAATAACTCAGCCAAAAGGCTCCCGTGTCTAATTAATTTTAGCTGCAACATTTTTCAAAAGCCGCCGCCAACGGCTAACGGCCAACTACAAATCGCAGCAGGCATCTCGCCTCGTGGCCCATTATTTATGCACTTGCTATCAAAATCATCGCTTGATTGCAATTTAGAGCGAAAACTACTCACTTAGTTTATGGATTATCTAAACGGGGATATACACACACACACACACTTACACGCACTCGCACACACACAGCTCAGCATTTCAATTAACTTCTCATAAATGGGTTTCAAAATTCTACATCGCTTCGTAATGTGTACTCTGATAACATATAATTGCGTTCCAGCTGTGGCACCTGACTGGCATGGAATATGTCTCTAATGAGTCGCATTGTACCTAGTTGGGTTGCATCACTCTCCCCAGCGAGGTATAACACATATAATTAAGGGCTCAATGTCTTGAATTGAATTCGAAATTGGTATTAGTTCATATTTTTCTACTTGATATGTTAATTGAGTGCTGTACATTTATTGAGTGAATGTCTAACAATTATATAAAATACATTTATTATTATTATATTAACAATTATTATATTGTAAGTCTGTCGGTAGTACAAAAATTGTTCGCTGTTTATTTGATGAAGAGCGAAGCACTTGACGCTTGCAATTCTCAACAAGTGATAGCTTCGAAAAGGGGACAAGGAGTTTGCAATCCTAGAGTCGATAGCAAGGCTAGAATCGAGCGGCAGGTTCTTATTAAAACTTCTGAGTTATAATTTATATATAATATTCATCATTAGCATATATAAATAAAACCAATATTAACCTCATGCGGGCTAGCTTTAAACTAGCAAAAAACTATTGTCATTTATTGTACACATTATTCGAGTAGTTATTCAAAGGTAGCATAATACATAGACATCGACTTTAAAATTAAAATGAATAATTAGTTAATTTAAAAAACACCCATTATAACGAACTTTTTAAATATTGCAGCCTCTGGAGTTCTACGTTGCTGGCGCTGTTCCACAGATGTCTCGAATGGCGAATTCTGCAACGATCCCTTCCAGTCGGACAGCATCTCGGAGCAGCAGCGTTACTGGAGCTATGTGAACTGCACCTATTCGGTGGGCGTTAAGTCGGTGAATGCGCGGCCCGTCTGCAAGAAGCTCGTGCAGGAAGGTAAGCAACAAGCCAGCGATAACCAGACACCCAGCACAGATCAGAGATTAGCAATTATTCAGCAATGCCCGTTGGACTGTCAATTGCGGCATTGTTGTGGTGTTGTGGCGGGGACCCACCGGTGGCTCACACCCGCGAGGCTGCCGCCTGTTGTTGGCTGCCACAAAGCGTCAAACAAGATTGAGATTTATTGGCCTGACAGAGTCGGCAGCAGCAAGTGCGGCATACAAATCCACAGAGGCAGCCGCAACGAGACAATTGTTCAGCGTTTGCGATCGCGTTCCCTGCTGCAGCTGCAGCTGCTGCTGCTGGGCGTTGACGGGGCGGGGCGTGGCTGGACAAGTGCTGGCGACACTTGGCTCAAGCCGGGCCAGGCCAAGCCATGCCAGGCCAGGCCAGTTGCATGCACCGCTAATTTACGGCAAATTTATGTGGCGATGTGGCGAGCACACAAAATAAAATAAAAGAGGGAGAGAAAAACCAACGCCAACACACGCGGCGTATGAGTGATATTCGTGTTGCAGTCGTCGATCTTTGGCTGCGCCGGCGGCTCTGGCTGCAGCTTTGGCATTTTTGTTACTTTTTTATTGTTCAGCCTGCGGCGAGTGCAAATTGTGCCGCTTGTTGGCATTTGCATTTGACAAGCAACAACAGCAACAGCAGCAACAAACCAACAACAAACACAAAAGTGCACATAAAAAAGGCGAGCAAAATGAAATTCAATTTTCGTACGCTGCTCAATTTGCCAAACGTTGCGTATCGCTGCATTTTTATCTCATTTAAATATCTGTGGACAGTTTTTCGATTTCAATTTCGATAACAGCAGCCAGAGAATCCGCCCATTTGTTTATTTCCATTTCCGTTTTAATTGCTTGCTTGTTATTATTCACATAAATAATACACAACGGACTATTATTGCTTGTGCTTGATTTTATTATGTGATTAACAAAAAAATAAATTACTTTAAAGTTACTTAAAAATCAGCTTTTATTATAGTACAATTAAATTTTGCACATGAAGATTTAAAAAAAGATCTAAATTATATAGTAAAATAAACTTTTTCTGTTTAATATTTGCTTTATGTAAATTGAAAATGAAATATATTTGCAAATAATAATAGATAATTTATGTTTATAATTTTAATCTTTAATGCAGGAATTACTTATTTTCTTCCCTGGCCATTTATTGCAAAAAATCGAACGTTTCCATAAGTAGAGTATATAGTACTTACTAGTAAATAGTCACAAGATTTTCCCTAATAATAACAATTCGCTTATTGCTTATTGTTTATTTATTTATTAAACAATGCTAACAGCTTTGAGGTTACCTTAAATAAATAAGGTAATAAATAATTTAATAATTATAGCCAAAAAACAGAAAGCATGAGGCTTACAGACAACGTAAAAGTAATTAGTCTATAAATAAAGAATTCTTTAAGCATAAGTTTTATCATTATACTATTGGCAAAAAAATCAAATTGGATGTCAATTGGGAGATTATTATAATGATCTTTTCAAAGGCTCATTCCACGCACAATTTGTATGACAATTCCATTCTTTTTATTTTATTTATTTCATTTTAATTTCATTATTTTATTTAATTTACTAAGCTGGCATTGTTAATTACTGGATATTTAATTACTGCTCGCCTTAATTAGCTCCAGTATTATTAGAATCAGTTGCATCTTCTAATTTCCTCTTTTGCAAATTGCGTGACCTTCATCTTGATTTTCCCGGAATTTTTCAAGCACAAATGTCAAATTAAAATGCGCTAATTAAAAATCGCAACAAACTGTTGCACATAACTAATCTCCAACGATTGGCATATGATCAAGTGCCCGGCTTGGAGCGGGCCAATTTCTTATGGCCAATTAATGAACACCATTAAATTTTTGCAATCAAGCGTCTACAAATTGGCGCTGCGAATATTTGCAAAGATTTGCGGCTGGCAATTAAAATTGCAAGCGGCAAATCTCAACTGCGGCTCGGGCTCCAAATGAGCAGCCAGATGCGAGTACATAATATACGAATAAACTATGCTCGCAAAAATAAACAAACAAACAAAAAATTATATATAAATTAATTAAGTTGTTGCACAGCGTGAAGCGCTCAATTACGGCAATGAGCAGGGAGTGGAGAGCCAGAAGCAGAGCCAGTTGCTGAGGCACAGCCAGAATGCTAGCCAAATGTCTGAGAAAAATACAACTAGGCGATGCAGCAGTTGTTGTTGTTGTTGTTATTATTTTTACTGCTGCTGCTGCTGCTGTGTCTACTGCTCAATTTATATGCCGTTAAATTAATTGCTTATGAAGTTTGGGCCGACGAGTGGCTGAGTTTTTGGCAAATGTCAAATTAAAAATGTATTCCATAATTCCATAAAACTAACAGCCAAGCCAAGCAATTAGCTATTTGCGTTGTGTGTGCGTGTGTGTGAGTGTGCGTTGCATTTTAGTTGTCACTGTGCGTCACTGAGCAAATATTTTGCAACTTGTTGCATTTTGGCTAACCGAAAAGTTGTCGCCGACTTTTTGCCTATTTTTGGCCAATTGCGTTGCGTATTTTTTTGTTCCTTTTTTAAGTTATTTTTTTATCTGCTGCTCTCTCGATTTTGTTACTGTGAAAAATGTTGCCAACACACATTTCGACCAATAAATAATTAAATTAATTAAAATTTAAATTTATGACAAAATGCAACATTTCCAACTTGGTTTCAAGTCGCGCACGCGGCGTATACGCCGTGAGTTTTCCTTTTCTTGTTGTTGTCGTTGTTGTTGTTATTTTTCCGCTCTGACAATTTTCTTTGGGCTCTGCAGCTGACAACTGCATTCTGTGTGCCTTGTTTGATGCCGCGGCCGTGATAAGGCGACAATTGTCAACAATTTTATTAGAGGCTTGTACTCAGATGTCGAACCCCCTTCACAACTACCCCTGCTCCACCCCTGCCTCACTCTCTCTGTCTCTCTCTCTCTCTCGCTCTCACTCACTTACGCACTCTGTGTGCTATCTCGCTTGCAACTGCTTCTTGGAGCCAATCACAAAAATGGTCAACGCGCACCTTTTTGAGCCGCTTTTAAAGTTTTACTTAATTTTATTGCGATTTATTTTGGTTGATTTTGTTTTATTTCGTTGCTTGATTTTTGTGTTTTTCTTGTTGTGTTCTGTTTGCGAAACACACACACGCACACACACACACACACACACACATCTACACACGCAATGAGAAAACGCAATTTGTTGTGCATTTTTTCTGGTTTTCATTTGCCGTTTCGCTGATTGCAAATTGTCTCGTTTTGCTGAGACCCGCGTTCATTTTGGCAGTGTATGTTGCGGCCAGCTCTAGACATAGTTGCAGGCCTCATTTTCAGTTGGCGTTTTTGCTGGCCCGGTCGGGCCTAGCCTGGCCGAGCCGAGCCGAGCCGGACCGGGCCTGGCAAACGCTGGTCGCCAGCAAGCCTTGAACCCATTTTCGCCAGTGGTCTGTTTGCCGTTTGGCCAGTTGCAGCTACAATTCTGTAATAGTATATTATTGTCTAAGGTTTTTCTAAGCTCGCAGAGCTTTCACATGCCCAGAGCTCATCTACAAAACACCTTTCGTTGTGGTAGTAAGACAGCAGCTGAGCTTTAACAAGCTCACCAATACGAGCGCAGCGATCAAAGCTTTCTTCACACGCTTTACTCCTTAACAGACATAATTTAACTTTAATATCAATTGTAATGATATTTTAATAAAATTGTTTACAATCATTACAGGGACAATAACTAAAAGGATTAGTTTTTTTATTACAATTAAGAATCATCTTAAATACAGCCCGTCAGCCTAGTGTCACTATAAAAGTTCTGTTTATGAGAAATTAATAGTACCCTGTAGTCTAATTACGCTTAATTCTCTTTTCAACAACAACATATTTAGGAGAGTTTAAGCTAAGCTAAAGCCGTGTTGGAATGTTCCATCTGCATAAGGAAACATGTAGGTTATATTACAAAATGAATAAGACCTTAATACAATAGTAAAATTTTTTTTTTATATTTTACGTTTATTTAATGTGAACATCTGTTTATTAGTAGAAGGAAATAGAATGAAAATCAAACATAACCAAAATAAAAGATATTAAAAAAATTAAAAAAAATATAAATATTCATGAAAGTTTAAGTTGCTTGTTAGATAGTCTTAGCTAAATCTTAAGCTAATAAGAAGAAAAAAAGGGGGACTATATAGTTATCAGTAAACATGTGTACACTAAGGGGCCTACATTTTATTTGAAACTGTCGGATTTTTGTTTACTATTTATCTATTTAAAAACTTAGGCAATTGCATCAGCTGCACTTACCTCACAGCTTGACTATTTGGCAGGCAGCCATTAGCCAGCACCTGATCGACGATTTGGACGACATTTGAAATGACATTTTTGAGATAAGTTAAACCGAACGGACGCAGTATATGGAAACGCGAAGCCCACGCAAAAACCGCGCGGCACATAAATTAAATTCAATGTGCAACATTTTTCTCACTGTGGATATATTAATTAAAAAATTGTTTGCCAGCAAATATTTAAAGTTTATTATGGCGTTCGTTTCATTGCAGTCTATGGCAAGCGGGTCATATCGCGCTCCTGCTTCTACGAGGATGTGGACGATGCGCCGGACAAGTGCGCCATGGACACGACCTCATCCTACATCAAGACCGTTTATTGCCGCACTTGCACCACCGATGGCTGCAACTCGGCTGGAGGACTCTCGGGTTTGGTGGGGCTGCTGGTGCTGCCCCTCCTCGCCGCACTGAGGCAGCAGCTATGCAAATGAGCTAATGACTGGCAAAATTCAGCCGTGGGTGGAGACTGCACACTTAATTGCATGAGGCAAATGCAAAAATGAATTTAAAGCGTTGAAATTCCTTTGAGCAGAATACAGAACAAATCAACAAATTCTTATTTCGCCTAGTTAAGTCGCGTTTCTTTCGACATATCTTTCAGACTTTTACACACACTGCGAAATTCTCTTATAAAGATTCACATAATGCACTCAATTTCAGCACCCAATTGCTGGCAGTCACACTTCGCTATAAATATACCATAAAATTACCATATATATACAGACTATACAAAATCTTAAATGTAAATGTTATGTAGCTGTAGAGCATTCAAAGGTTTCCACTTGGTCAGTCTTAAGCAATCAATAAATTATAGTTAAACGTTCGCATATTCTACTTGCACGCCGATTGATTACATACACATTTGATTGATTGCACACACCCATACACACACAAACACACACACATCTTTACATATATAGACCTTTGTAATATTGTATTACTTATTGTAACTGTAATCGAAGCACTTTTTTATGGTGTCTTGCAAATAAATTGATTAGATGGTAAAAAACATGCATCGTTTATTATTTTATGTATTTTTTAACAATTTTAGATTTTGAATGTTGTTAATGATATTCACATACATAGATTTCCTTAAAAAAAATGTTCAATTTATCAAATCAAAAAAATACATTAAAAATATTTTTTTAAGAAAAAATCTATTTCTGGATCGCTCAAAGCTCATTGTTGTTTGTTACATTTAAAATGTTTAAAGTATTAATAAATTGGCGTATGTACGCCAAAATTATGAAAATGTAACAAGCTAAAGGTGGCTTCTCCGACCCCATGCAGTATACATATTCTAGATGAGCATCAATAGCTGAGTCCATGTTTGTCTGTCTGGTCGCTTTTCTGTCCGTCCACCTATATGTATGTTCGCATCGATTGTAGGTCCTCCTAGTGTCCGCGCAGTAGGAGTTTGTTTGAAATCATCGATAACTTGCACTCTTTCTAAGCAATCGATAGAAATCGTTAGTGAAGTTTTTCTTTTGAGCATATTTCGTAGGCTTAATGCTTCATGTAGCTCCTCGAATAGTATACCAGCAATGGGTATTTTTCATTTTTTGTATGCCACCTCCCCATCCCACAAAATGAAATAAGTTAAAATTTTCAATTTGAACTTCACAGACATTTTTGATTTCTATGAAACAATAAGATAACTTAACTAGGATCAATTTTTTCCTTTTAATCCCTTATCCCATTAAATAGGTAACAAAGTTTATAATGGGAATTTCTTGATTCGTCTGAGTCGGAGCAACGTATCGCAAGTTGCTTCCAGTAAGTCCTATGTGTATGCATGTATACATATTTGTCTAGGTTTTCATTTATAAATGGGCGTGCTTGTGTTTTTGGTAGAGAAAGGTTTGGGGTATCACCTAGTCGGCCATTCCCAACTAATTGACTTTATTTGTTAAAGTTCCCCGTTCCAGTCCAAGTTTTTGCCTAGCCCACGTAACCTTAAATTTTTTAATTTCAAAAGCAAATCAAAAATAATTGTCTCACATCATTGCGCTTGACATTGTGCAAGCTACAAAGATATACAGATACACAATTGGATGAGCCGTTGAGTTCCCGATGCGTCATTCAAATTGTGGTTCGGCAGTCGCCGCAGAACGGAAATGTGTTCAGTTCTGAGGGCAGTCTCAGAATTTAAGAATTGTCTCTGGGTAATTGCCGACCACGCAAAAATGTCAATGCCAGAGCTGACATTTGACCCAAGCCAATTGAGTCTTTGATTTGTACGGAAGATCTTCAGGTTTAGCTTTATAGTGGGAGCTTTTATACCCTTCACTATTCTTAAATATCCGTAAAACTGTAAAGCAATAAGGGCATTACTTTCTGTTTTTTTTTTTTGGTTCGGTACCGCCCTAGAGGGTGATTATTTCATTATGTTTTTAAAAAATTTGTCACAAGCATTAAGGCAAGCCTGAAAGCTGTCTAACAAAAACATAAACAAGCAAATGTAAATACGAGTGCTGTGATAGAGTGCTTAACTTGTAGATACCCTGTACTTAGATTTAGATAGCTGTATTTATTAACCGGTAATTGTGAGTTTTTTAAGATTATATGGAATTTATCTGTCAATATCAGAACTAAAAATTTGTTTTGATTTTTATAAGACAAAGGAATTTGTTGGAGTATAAAGATTTATCTGTCAATATTAGAGCTTAAGCTTAATGTTTAATTTTTCTGGAACAAAAGAACGAAAACTAGAAGAATAGATATAAATAAGTGCATAGGGATTTACATAGGTTATTCAAGAGTCTCTTATCTCATTTAATATTTTTCCACATTAAGCATAGACAAACATATAATTATCTAGAATTCCTAAAAACAATTCAATTAAAATTTTAATCTTAAATACATTATATATAAATATGTTGGATTACAAGGTTACCTTTCAGCAATTTGTTAATCTTCAGGATTGCGATAATAATTGCAAAAAATTAACTTGCAGACTAACATATTTTATGAGAAGACATTGCCGCGCACATTCGCAAAACTTAATCGCATATCAATAATTTTTACGATTGTAGAGTATATATATAAATAAAAATAAAAAATAATGGGTGGTAACTATGCCAGAAAAACGTTTTGGCCATTTAAAGTTGTCGCACGGCTTTTCCACGGTTTGTTTTGTTTCTTTATTATTATTTTTTCAAATACATGCATGTAATGTATGTGTGTTTTTTCAGTTTTTTTATGACGTGTCTGGCGAAAATGTCGTACAGTTTATGCAATAAAACTGGCCATTTATCATTGAGGGGGCATGGGTAAATATTGTAAATCGACATTGTTCAGCGTTTCAGCTGGCTGCGAATGTTACGCATACGCCCCAATGGCCCCAGGCTGGCTGTCAATGGGCACCACGATCGGCCGACTGGCCGGCCAGAAGTTTGGGCCCGCCGCCTTGCTTAAGTTTATGATGTGATTTGACTTTTTATTGCCACGGCTTAGGCTTCAACTTAACCTCCTAATCCGTTGTAATCTTTGTTGTTGCTCGGCTCAAGCCCGCCAATCAACTCCAAGTGTGGCGATGGCGTCGCTCTCGATCGCCGGCTCATTTGGTGTGCGTGCAGCCAAACGCAGCGAGTCGCATTTTTCACGCTTTGTCAAGTGTTTTTGGGTGTGCAGGAGGAGTCGTCGGCTACTGTCGCTTTATGCTGCAGATTAATGTCAAGATTTGCATATGCAAACATATATCTGTTGGCTGTTTCACCGCCTCACCCAACACTTTGGCATGAGTGTGGCCAAATTTGGCAATATACTGTTCACAATTGCTGCCACACTGGCAAGTTATGTGCGTGGCAGCCAATGAATCACAAACTAATAAGTTGAATCATTGCAGTAGCTAAGCTATATTTAAATATTCTAAGTATATTGCACATATGTCCAACTTTATTAACTACAAGCAGCGCCATCTGCTATTTTATTTTCATCATTTTCCAGAGTTTAGATTTTCACAAAAAACCATTGGACCAAAACTTAGAATGTGAATTTTTAATGCCAAACGATATAACTGATCCTTACGAGTCCAAAATGGTATAAAATTCCCAAATCGTACATTATTTGGCCGAGATATTCCAAAAAATCATTAAAAAAGGTTGATTTTACAAACGAATCGGTTTTTGGTAAACCACTTTTTTTAACCCATAGATTTTTGAAATGTTTGAATGCCGAGATATTCCAAAAAATCATCAAAACAGGTTGACGTTACAAACGAATCGGTTTTTGATCAACCACTATTTTTAACCTATCGATTTTTGAAATGTTTGAATGCCAATTGTTAGTAGGGATCC